CGTCCGGTTACCCCACCGGACTCGTGCAATGCTACGTAGACAGCGGTGTTCGAACACCGACAGTTTTTCTTTATTCTGTTCCCGTAATGGCCAAGTCTCTGCACCGTAAAGCAGAACTGGCTGAACTGCCGCAGCATATGCTCGACCCTACACACACAACCGGATGTCGCGACGGCACCACAGATATCTCAAGTTGGCAAATGTACTGAATATACACCATAGGATCCTGGGAGAATATAACAGACGTTTCGGAGTTTTGGCGAATGATATGTCAGATCATCAGTGCCTTTTACTCAGGTTGTTTTGACCTTTGTTTGCTTTATGGCGCAAAGGATAAGAGTAGTGAAATAACAAAATACAGAAGTTCAGCTGTGACTGAATTTCTTGCGAAATTACCTTATCATCATGAATGTGACAAAATGCATCACTATCTTCCGAGTTGTGAATCATGCTGTAATGCAATTCAAAGCTTAAAGATTTTCTTTTAAAGTGTCATGATATGACTTAGTATTCGATGTTTTCCATTTATGTTCCCTAACATTGCAGTTAAAATCCCTGGAGTAATTCCCTGGAAGGTTCATTAGATTTTGATGGGATAGAACACGGCGCATTAGAAACGAATGAAGACACTGCCTAATTACTTTTTGTAATATTCTGCGCCGTCATATTAAAAAGCATGTCAATTAGAGCTGTATGCATGTGTGCAAAGGTCCCAATTCACCGCATTAGACAATTCCATGTTGTTGGTAGGTGGAAAGCAACATGGAATGATGACGGTACCCAATTAGCCATTTATCCAATGAGACAGTTCCTTTCAAAACAAAAAATATCAAAACGTGTGAGGTGAAACAAACAAAAAATTATTATTCGTGTCATCTTACCGTACCGTAATTTTTTAATCTCCATTACATTTTGTTTTGTACCTTAATTATTTTCATCTTCACTTTTGTTGCTTTTACAGCATGATGTTTTGCAAGCTGATGATATATCTACTTCTTTTCTGTATTGTAATCTCAAGGAAAAACAGAAACATTTTATGGGTTTGCTTGATAGGGGCAAGCTATCGCGATATAAGTGGCGCATTTGCTCTTCAGGCTTCGAACACAAAAAGCATCCGTTTAAACTCTATTCTTTAGGGATAATCCAATCTGTAATGATGACACAAGTTTGTAATATGCTACACCTCTTGAAACAAAAGCTAACCTGAAATATTTATCAGTTTTCGTAGTGAAACAAAGAAAGAAGCCACACCACCGACTCGCATAGCGGCAGAAACGAACACCTGTAGCTTACAAGATAGACTAGGGGCTGAAATTGATAGTACAGTGCAATAAAAGGGCTGTCCGTATTGCTTTCTATGCTGTCTCACCATTTATCAACCCTACCATACAAGGTATCCGTCACCGCCGCCATTCAACGATCGCATTCCTACTTGATCCCACCGCTCCATGCACTTATGCCTTCCATTACATTTGCAGGACGTATTATATATANTATATATCTAATAAAGCGATACAACTGAGACGTTGCTTTGTAAAAGAATCACAAAACAATCTCAGGTATGCATAACCAACGGATTGTGAACGCGGCACATGGGCCCAAGTTGAAGTCAACACAAGCGTTGTGTTCTTTGTGATGTTGCGTCATCTTGTTGGCTTTACCGATCCTGCAATCCGACCTCTAAAATTACCTCATCTGTAGCCAACCGCCCATATTTCCCTTTAGTAGCTGTACACATGCCACAACCGCTTTACAATGTTTCTCTTATGATATGCAGTCTGCGGTCAATGGTAGAATGCAAAGAGACTTTCTCGCAGTCTAGCCTTCACAATTTACGTCTAAATTTTAGTTTTCATTGTACTATTCGACGGCCGGCCTAAAGAGTCTGGAACAAAGAAGTGACTTTTATTGCAAATCCTAGAGAAACTCAGAGAATGAATTAAAAGCTCAACTACCACAAATTTTTCCCAAAAGCCACTCTGATCCGCGAGTGATAATTATAATGAGATCGTGATTAAACAAATATTTTTGGTTCGAATACAAGTAAATCTGTTGAGTTGGATGGATTTTTGAGTCACGGACTGGAAACCAATCAATGAGGTTTACTTGTATTCCAACTAACTGAAAAACTAGTTCAGAATACGAACTCTGGAACTATTTCAATCCCTAACTCTGATCTGTTTGAGGTGGACTAGTTAGCATAGATTTGTGATCCAGGCCTTTCAAATTACAAGTATTAGTTTCATTGTTTACAACCATTAACCGTGCGCATTCGCGCGCCTATTTTGGTCACTGTATCATGACTGCTCAATGGGATGAAAGAGCAGAAAAAAGAATGGAATTTTGCGAGCACAGTCAAAGGGACGAGAGAGAATTGTCATGGACTAAGGTTGCAAGGATAATGAGTAGATGCTTCTCGCTGGAATCATACTCCATCGACTGTCCACCGCACGTGAACACTGCACGCTTGGAAATCAGATTGGTTGCAGACCTGGTCGAGGTCGTGTCAACCCCATTTTCACTCTTTCCCAAATTTCAAAACACAGACCTTAACCGAGATGCGTGACTGGTGAACCGAATCGAGAACAGAACTTGCGTCTGATGCGTTCCGAGTGTGAGACTGACCGTATCAATTGCAAATTGTGCGTAAAGATGAAACGATGTTGAGTCAAAATAAAAGATGTAACCCCTCAAAAAAGCGCTTGGTTTATATGAATCTAAAATCAGCGTAAATTATCCACGCAGTTCATAAACACGAACACATACGAGAAAGCTGTGACCGCACCGTTCCTTCGAGTGATTAACCTTCTCTTGTGAATGAGGAGGACGAGGACAAACGGACTACATAATACCTGATTTGATCCTTTGGAGTGATCAATAAAAAGGTGGACTGAACAATTATTCCACAGACCGTAATTGTTAAGTTGATTGTTAACGACTTTAGGAATCTGTGTCCAGTGAGTAATCTTACCTTGAGGGCACAATTTTGATCTGCCCTTTGTAGACAGTTGCAGAGACCAACAGAAAGTTTGTCAAAGTTGGCCTGTGAAAACTGATAAAAAGGCGCCATTTGTTATTTCAAGACTGTAATTTAATTGTTTATAGTGGAGTTCACATCTTATGAATTGGTTTCTCACAACTGCTTTTTAGTTGATCAAAATGGTGCGAAATTCCACGTGTGATTTACTGTTTCCGTAACTAAACAGTGCTTCAAACTATGCGAATAAAACAGTGTGTAAGGTATTTTCATGAGCGCTTTTCAAAGCTATTTGCTCTAGAACAATACATGTGTTGAATCGGTTTCCATTTCATAAAGGATTACTGAGTTCTGTACTTGCCTGGCATTTCATTTTTATCAGATTGAGATGAATCATCAGTCCGATATGATGACATTTTTAATTCTGCAATCATTCACAGCACGACAGCACTCGTATAGAAGACGGATGGTTACTTGAATGCATACAAATTCTTCATCCGCTTACAAAACGTCGTTACATGTTCCTTTGTAATCACTGGCTTTCGTTGTACAAGGAGGACGGTCTCCTCACTCGTGAACTCTATGGGGTACGGAGCACCAAAACGAGTAAGTGTGTATAGATCACCCTATTTCAATTTGAATGAAATAAAGAATACTCTATCGTTGTAGTGACGGGAGATTGTGAGGCGGCAGGCACGGACAGCAACGTATACATTAAACTGTTCGGTCGTACCGGAATCACACCCCGTATTCAACTTGCCCAGGATCAGTCTCAGAGCAATCACAGTGTCTACTTCTCTCCGTTCGCGCGCGGTATGAGCTCCAAGTTCATTGTGAACGCACCCAGTGTGGGCGCGATGACCCATGTACGTATCAGTCAAAATGGTCGGGGCGAATATCCGCACTGGTTTCTCGAACGGATTGTGGTGACCGATTTGTCCCACCCAAAATGGACGTACTATTTCCACTGTTCCCTTTGGCTTTCACCAAGCTACGCGGATGGAAAGCTCTTTAGAATGATACGAGGTGCAAGGGAACCAACCGGAACCGGTGTCGGTAGGTTTCGGTCTTCATCGTAATATGTCTTTTTCGAGAATGAATGGTTTGAGTGAAATTTTTATACTTTGCGGGAAAATGGGCTGGGCGGGACAAAAGTTGAGTATAAGAATGAACAGAAATAATTGGATGCATAGTTTCCCTGTAACGAATTTGGATGTATTTGAATGTATTCAGAATAGAAATAAAACAGCGCCCGATGCCTGCTGTGTTTATAGGAAACTTTTACAGTCACTGAAGTGTTTTGCTTTCAATACGTCTTTATAGGAATATATAATGGGATTCTATATATCATTTTGATGGAATTCAGCAATGAAAAATGTGTAATCGTCCAGAAGCTTAAGGGATTTCCAAATGCACGGTTCCCATTGTGTTTGTTTGTAAGTTGAATATTCAATAAAGTTTTCCCAAAACAAATCATGGGCTGTTCAAAATCACTTGATTGTCAAATGTGATCGAAGCTTGTAAAATAGCTACAACTGGTGACTACTGCGTCATCATCATCATCATCATCGTACAGCGAAATACAGAGAAGCGAACTTCACTGATCGCTGCTAAACTCGTAATGCGTATACATTGGGGTTTGATGGACGGGTACTGCTAGGATGTCCAGCCACTAAGCAGGAGAACGATTAGGGTTCTTAATCAAATCCTTTAGTTCTGACGAGAACCTAGTCACTAGGCAGCGGATGAAGAGAAAAAGGAGGCCCATTTACTTGGATCAATTACTCATCCACTATTTTTCACAGACTGAAAGGCAAATTCTAGTCGAACCCCCAGCCTGGAGGACTAGGCGACTGGACTTCGTTGGACCTATATCCTTATAACTTTCAGGCATGATTAGATTTTCGGCTTGACAAAAGCCATCCTGTGTAGCTCGTTTGGTCAGAGAGGTACACAAGCCATCACACCATGTCAAGGAGCAGTCTCGTCGTGATGGGTACCTCCCGCAGACAAATACAAATCTCATTTAAACATTCATTTGAAGTTGGCACCGGTTATGATACAATAAAATCGTTCAGGACATAAATTGAACACTTTTGCTATCCTAGCTTCTCGTTTGAAATTTACAAACCGTTTTCTGGATAGTTTGAATGATACTGTAGCGATGTTCGGCATGCGCTTTGCACCTTCAAAGTATAAAATGCTGCTCCAAGATTGGGTTGGCCTCGTCCCCAGCCTCACCCTGACCGGAGAATTTGTAGAGAAAGTAGATAAGTTTTGCTACTTGGGCAGCTACATCTCACCTGGCGTATGCATCACAGATGAAGCGTCGGCGCGCATACAGAAAGCTTGGTTGGCTTTGCCAACTTGAGTCATGTGTGGCGCAGCCGCGACATCCGGTTTTCTGTGAAGGGTCGAGCATATGCTGCGGCAGTTCAGCCAGTTCTGCTTTACGGTGCAGAGACTTGGCCATTACGGGAACAGAATAAAGAAAAACTGTCGGTGTTCGAACACCGCTGTCTACGTAGCATTGCACGAGTCCGGTGGGGTAACCGGACGAGCAATGCTGAGGTTAGACGTAGAGTTTTAGGTAATCGCGGTCGTCCACTGGAACAGGTAGTCGACCGCTGGTTGGGACATGTGCTACGCATTTCACCAGATAGGTTTCCACGGCGAGCGATGCTTGGCGAGGCAGGTAGCAGTTGGAAAATGAAGGGCGGTCAAGCTCAGACCTGGCATGAGGGTATGAAAATCTTGACCAGGAGACTGGCTCACATAGGTCGCGTTAGGCTCCCTGGATGGGGATCCAGAGATAATGGTCAGCGGTGTTAGAGACACTGAGCGATATGGCTGGGTGCTGCAAACAGTGGCGCTTATACATCTACTCATTATTCTTATAACTTCAGTCTATGAAAATGTGTTCTCAACATTCTAATCATCATTCTGCCATTTTATCCAAATGGGCAACCAAAAGGCAGCAATCAAAACGCGCACGAAAGTGCATGGTTAATGGTTGTAAGAACTGAATTGAACCGAAGTTTAACTATTACCATTATGAGTTCAATACAAAAAGTATAACACCAACGAAGTTTTATTTACTTCATTTTTTTATTGGACGGTCGAAAATCAGAATTAAGAATTTGTTTTGTTCTCCTGGGGACACTGGAATCAAGAAACATTGAAATAACTACACGTTCTTCGGTCAGAATCTTGAGCGTACGACCACATTAATTTAATGGGCTTGTTCCATCCAAAGTTAAATCACAAGTTTATTTAAATTCTTATTTAATAAAACAGACTATGGAAAATTATAAAGAATTTTCCTAATGACAATGGCAATGTTTTACCAAGGGAAGATAATATATGAAACACCAACGAGCTTGAAAACATGTACACAGGTGGGCAACTGAATGAAACTATAGGTCATTTATGGATTCTTCTGCCCTCTATAAACTCCAGATTCTTACATAGCTAATCGATTGAGGAATTTATATCAATAAATTGCTTGGTTTCAAAAATAAACATTCAAGAGACAATAATCGCACTAGCAATGTTTGATTGCCTCCAGAAATTGAATTCGCTGTCTGGATTTATGCCAATGGAGTATTTTCTCACTTCCAGAGTTAAACCTACCAGCTCATTGCTCTAGGAATAAAATAACATATCTGCGCGGAGACAAATTACTCCGGATAAGGATAAACACATTTTGAAGAAGCTCTTTTCACTTTTTTCACAGAAACTGAATACCAACTGACATTTTACACTGGCGATCGACCCGAGGCTACCACATCTGCCGATGTATTTGTTCAGTTCCACGGGGAAAGTGGAATCAGTCGAGAGATTTGGTTAAACGATGCACCATGGCAACGACCTACTACAGCTCAGTCACACAGTCCAATTCGCTTCAGTCGTGGATCGTGTGTCCAAGTGCGACTCCCACCTTGTCAACAATATGGACCCCTAAAACAACTCACCGTTGGTCACAATCGACGTGGTTCATCTCCCAAATGGTATTTGGAGAAAGTAAGAGATTTATCGGAAAGTTGATTGAGTTATGACAATACAGGTTTTGAACAATAACTATATAACATGTTTTTGTCTTCAATATGTACTTCTTTCCTTAGGCCAGACATACATCTGTTTCATATGATATTGATCTGGTTCTCTTATCCTAGGAAAGTATCATCAAATTTTATTGGCTTGCCTCGTGCCG